AGCCACAGCTTCTCTGGGCAACCTGTGCCAAGGCCTGACCACCCTCCCAGGGAAGGATTTCTTCCTCATGTCTAATCTAAACCAAATCTCCTTCAGTTTAAGGCCATTTCCACTTTGCAAACAGAATCACTGAATGGTTTGGATTGGAAGAGACCTTAAAGATCATCCAATTCCACCCACTGCCATGGGCAGGGACACCTTCCAGTATCCCAGGTTGCTCCAAGCCCTGTCCAGCCTAGCCTTGAACACTCCCAGGGATGGAGCAGCCACAACCTTGTGGACACGTGGGAACTGGTGATAACGCTGTACCTTGAGCTCCAGTGAAGGAAAGAGAGAGCCAAAGGTTGGCTCTGCCCTGCTGCATTAGCACTTTTCCCACATAATTGCTGCAGTGCAATGGAAAAATAAAGACCCTGTGTGAAGAGGCCCCTTGTATCCTGCGTTTTCTCCTTCTCCCTGGCACGTATGGTAGTCTGTGTTCTATGAAATTGCTCCTTGTTTTTGCCATCCCTCTGTAAATCCCAAATCGCTGCATTATTCTGAGGTGCAGCGCTGATGGCTCCCCTACGTCAGCTCCATTTTTAGTATAATTCATGGAGCTTAATCTGCACCTCAGTGCTCATCCAGATCCCAAATGGAAGGCGGATGAGTGACTGATTAATCTTCCCGCCTCTCTAGAAACCGTCTCACATCGATTGCTTTACTGTGTTATCATCCCTGCTGTCCTGCCAGGGGAACAGATACAGCTGGTGATACAGGAATCCAGGGCTCTTGTTCCCAGAAAGAATTGTGGAGCCTAAAGTCTCCAGTTCCCTTGATTGAAAACCCTTAGAAACAGTCCATGGCCTTTTTGCTGAAATGGGGGAACCAGCGGGTTCGTCCTGATGAAAATTCGGGCATTTTCAGAGATCTCGTTACCTGACCAGTCACACAATGAGAATGCAATGAGGGACTTGACATGAGATCCATGTCTTTACAGTGGTGTCATGTCAACATCGGTCCTAAACTCCATTAGGACCTGAGGGAACGGCCAGAGCTGTGCCAGGGGAGGGTTAGGTTGGATCTCAGAAAAAGCTTCTTCCCCCAGAGGGTGGTCGGGCACTGAACAGGCTCTCCAGGGCAGTGGGCACGAGTGGTCACGGCCCCAAGGCTGCCAGAGCTCAAGGAGCGTTTGGACAACACTCTCAGGGACAGGGTGGGATTGTTGGGGTGTCCTGTGCAGGGCCAGGAATTGGACTCAGTGATCCCTGTGGGTCCCTTTGAACTCAGAGTATTGTATGATTCCTTATTTGACATTTTTACCCATTACAGAGAAGAACATGGAAAATGATTTTTAGCTGCCATCAGCTGCAGGAGCAATGGCAACGAAGACAAGGAACTGGAACGAGTCTATATTAGTGATTTAAATAGTGCCAAGGACTAGGCACAGCACACAAATTTTGTATATATCTGCCATAATCAGTCTATATTTCTATACATTGGTAATAAATTCTTTAGGAGTCTTGGGAGTCACAGCAATGAACTTCTGAGGCTGAAGATCTAACATTCCCCTTGGACAGGTGAAGGCCAACCCAAGAAATCAGATGGCATCGGCACTTCCTTGGTCTGAGCAGCACCAGAATGCTGCTTCCTTATTCACATCTTCATCAAAGCAGGAAAAAAATCAGGAAGTACGTCACTTGAAGACCTGGAGAGGGTCCAGAGATGTGCAGTGACTCAAGAGAATTAGAAAATACACTTGACTGTGATGAACTCCCAGAGCCCTGTTTATCTTGCCTCGAGGGATGACTGCAGCCTACAGCAGTAAGTCTGGATAACAAAACCTGGATAAAAGCAATCTCCTCATTGTAGGGAAGATAAGCTAAGCTGTGACGGTTGGGAGCTGAAGCCAACCTAAAAATAAGGTGCATATTTGTAACAGTAATCAAGCACTGAATAATCCACTAAAGCCCGTGGAGGATCTTCTTTCACTGCATGTTTTCAGATGAAAAAGAGATGGCTTTTCCAGGAGATGCAGAGGGAAGCACAAACTTGCCTTCCCAACCCGTGGATTACCATGGAGATGCTCACACGGGGCTTTATCACTTTCAAAGATACGGCAGATTTTGTTACGTGGGAAAAACGCATCTATCCCAAAGCACAAAGACTAGGAAATTTAACTCTGATGGATTATGGACAGGAAATGGCAGGTCCTGGAAAAAAATGGTGTATATTTTGAGCAAGTTCCTAGGACTGGATGGGTAGGAATTAGTGCAAAGCCTTGGCTGAAAGGAGACAGGTAAGCCCACATCTCTTTTCTTCCTGCTCTCTCTCTCTCTTTCCACTCTTTTCCCATCTTCATGCTGGTTTCCCAAAGACTTTTAGCATATGGCATAAAATTGCTGTGCTGGGAATACTGTGATAATTACATGGGAAGGCAAGCACTGTGTAGGTGCCTTAATCCAGGCTTTTTCCTGATATACTTCAATCTATATGTGGGTACATAGAATGTCTGTGTGAAGCATAAATAAAGAAATAATCAGGTTCTACTTCTTGCTTGGACAGGTAAACCCATATCAAGGAAACTTTAAACAAAGTTAAAATATGACTTTTGGAGTCTCCCCCCCCCCACCTTGTGGAACTAGAGGAGTGGATATCCCACACTTTCCTGAAATACAAGTGGGATTTATCTAATTTAAACAGCATTCTGTTACCATGGAGCCAACAAGCACTAAGTCCTTGTGAAAATCAGCAGTTTTTATTTGTTAAGTGGCACGATGGCTTATTACCGTTTAATACTTGGAATTCAGTTATCAGGCAGGAACACAGTGTGTGAAGTGCCACACAAACAGGGAATGCCAGCCTATTTCCTGCCCATAATACCCAGAATTTTACAGCATCAGCAGCCCCAGTGGCACTGCTCTACCCACTGCTTTCGATTGCAACCCCCCTGCCCTGCTCTGCTGTTTTCAGCCTCACATGTGAAGCAGCTCAATGTGATGGGTGACGAAGCACTTTTTCCCAGAAGAATTAATGTACTGGAAAAGACACCTATGATTTAAGAGATAAACACACAGGGACAGCACGTGGAGGATCACCAGGATCACTGGAGTGGAGGCAAGGCTGGATTTTCAGCACATCAGGGCTCTGGAAGGTCTCAACCACTTCATCCGCGAGGCTGAGCAGCCAAACCTGGGTCTGTTTTTCTGCCCTTCACCTCTGCCTGACCTCCATTCACACAGAGGAGATGGTAATGAAAACATAACTGGTCACAAAGAGGCAGAGGATGCTCACAAGAAAAAAATCAGGCTCACAGGTAGAGACATTAACTCTCAGGAGTCCATTGCCACCCATCATGACATTAACCAGTGCTTTTTTAGACATTATGGGCAGGTATATGTGGTGCAAGACAAGAGATGGTCAGTATAAAACCAGTGGACCTTGTCATCTTTCGTGGTTTCTTACAAAGAAAGATCTGGGAAATGACAGAGTGACCCTAATGAGAGAGCAGCTAATTAGGTGAACATGCCTTAAATAAAATTCACACTCTGTTATTGAGCATTTCTGGTTCTTACTAACTTGTACTGTCAAAATATCACAGTTATTTATCATATATTCACTCATTATTCAATAGATTTTTTTCAGGTTATTACAAGACTGCTTTGAGGTCACCTGAGGTCCTCTCTAGTCCTGATCTCAATGATTCTAACTATCCAAATTTAACAAAACTTAAAAAACTGACTGCGATCTTGGGCCTATACGTGGTCAAAGAGGGTGTCATTCACCTTTCAAGCACAGAACAGTGAATCTCAAAGCAGAGGTGGGACAGTTTGTCTCTCAGATTCCCAAATGGATTTTTAATTTTGAAGAAAGCCTGACTCCTAAAAGATGAATTTCCTGCTTCTCTAGGAGCATCTGGGAATTCTCAATATTGCTATAAATACCCAATGCCGTTGTAAATGTGAATTAAATTCTAGGCCTCAAGTGTTTTGTATCCAGGTAAAACTCAGATTGATTAAGAGCAGAAAGGAACTGCATCCATCATGGACCATTTCTTGAGAGAATTATATGACTTTCCTCTCAGATTAGGTATTAGTTTGTTGTTCTATCATCTATCAATTCGGCCAACAACCCAACTTTTTCAAAGCCCTCCAGATGAATTTTGCAATGAATTTCTATCCTGTCCTTTGTATAGTCCAGTGGAAGGTGTCCCTGCCCACAGCAGGGGATTGGAATGAGATGAGCTTAAGGTCCCTTTCAATCTCAACCACTCTGTGATTATACGAATATGTGTGAATATGTATTATCCCCAAAACACAGTGGATATTTTCCACAGGCAGTTTTAGACCATTCACTTTTTATTTCTTTATTTTTATTGCAAACATAGGTGCAGACGCTTCTGCCTGAAGATTTATGTTACTTGGAGCATCTTCATGCAAAAAGTACTCAGCAAGATTGGGATGATCCAGTACGTTGGCTAAATGTAATGCAGGAGAATGCTGTGTAAATAGACAACAGAAAAGTCATAGAAAAAAACCATATATAATTGGGGGTTGGAGCAAGATGAGTTTTAAGGTCCCTTCCAACCCAAAGCATTCTGTGATTCTATGATTATATTGTACAATAAAGCACATTAGTGAATGAAGAGTCTGTGTAGTGTGTTTTCCTGAATGTATTTGCACAAACCCTCCTAAAACCGGGAGCATGGACAAGACAGAGGGTTAATGGGATATAGATGAGGATGAGGTGAATGGGACCGCATGAGGGGCACGCAGACAAAAACCCCTCCCGAGGCTGCAAAATAATACCGGAAACAACCGCACATATAGACTCCATAGCAAGGAGCATTCCACAGAGGTGTTTGGGAGGACCATGCAAAGGGATATTTCGGGATAAAGGGTCACGGAGGACATGGACAAGGAGGGGGGGACCCGTGAGGGACCGTCTGAGGGAGCGGAGAGGGGGGTGCGTTTTTTGCCGCCGCCCGGCAGGGGGCGCTCCCCCCCCCCGCCCCTCCCTCCCCGGGGCTCCCCCTGAGCGGGCGATGCCTCCGCGCCGCCTCCTCCTCCTCCTGCTCGCCCGCGCCCTCCGCGGCTCCGCCTTCGCCATGGGAGACTCGGCCTCCCGCCTGCCGCAGGAGGGCGAAGCGCTGCCCGGCAGGACCCAGCGCATGGCGGTGGCAGGTAAGGCCAGACCGCCTTCCCTTCCCTCCGTTCCCGCTCCGCTGTCTCAGCCCGGCGCCCCCTTCCCCCCCGCGCCGCGCGCGTGCGCGGTGCCCTCGCGGAGGGGCGGGGCCGCAGCTGCGCGTGCGCGCTGAGGGGCTTGGGGGGGGAAAAACATGGCGGATGGGGGGCGTCCCGTGAGGGGGTGACGGGGAGAGGGGGAGGAAATGTCCGGCGGGAGCGCGTTTGCGTCGTGGATTGTTCGCGGGGTGACGATTCCTTTGTGTCGTAAGAATTAGGAGTTAGTGGTTGCTGGAGCTGACAGCGAGCGCTGTCCTTGGTGGTGCTCAGGGAAACTGCGGCTTCCCCATCCCTGGAAGTGTCCAAGGCCAGTTTGGACGGGCCTTGGAGCAACCTGGGATAGTGGAAGGTGTCCCTGCCCCTGGCACGGGGTTGGAACTGGATGAGCTTTAAGATCCCTTCCCACGCAAACCATCCTGTGATTCTATTCTGTGATTTCTCTTGAAATACTGAATTTTCTGTTTAATTTTTACTGAGGGCAGCAATAGTCCTATTGAGGGTTTTAAACAGATTTCTATATCACTTACTTCTACTGCTAAATAAAATAAATACCAAAAAATAATTCCTGATTATAGAGTGGCTTTTCTATGGATGTTCTAGGAAGGAATTCCTGTCTGTGAGGGTGGTGAGGGGCTGGGATGGAATTCCCAGAGAAGCTGTGACTGCCCCATCCCTGGAAGTGTCCAAGGCCAGGTTGGACGGGGCTTTGGAGCAACGTGGGATGGGAGAAGGTCTCTCTGCCCGTGGCAGGAGGTTGGAAGTGGATGATCTTGAAGGTCTCTCCCAACCCAAACCATTCTATGATTCTGTTTGCAAAGTATTTTTAAGTTCTCAATAATTCTTTCAGTGATTTTCCTTTGAGTAAATGTGTGCTGTCAGGTAAGGAAAGTAACAACCCAGAATTAAGCAATTTTGCCTTCTGACAGCCCTCCCAGGAGCAGAAAGTGTTCCAAGATGATTGTCATTGCCATTCTAAAGGAATTACAGTGGCACTGAGGTGCTCTAAGACGTGTCTTCAGTGTTTCTCCTACAAGGTGTTTGTTGTACAAGGTGTTATTTATATGTATCTTTGCTCCAGACTCCTGTAGACCCTGAAAAAGTGTGTGAACTTAGGGAAAAAAAAGAAATATTTAAACACATAAAGTATGTAAGTGCTGGTGGGAGGAGGATAAATGGGTGATGGCATAAGCCCAGTGTTTGAGAGCACAGTAAAATCTTACATTTTATAGATATTTGGTAAAAATCTGAATGTGGTGGTAAAATTAAAGGTAGCAGGAAATTATAATGTCTGATGTGGAGAAAAGGGGCTCAAAGGAAGGGTGCAGAGATGGGATTTATGTCTTTAAAGCAGTGAACTCCAGAGATGATACCAAGAGTAGCACATTGCCTGGATTAAAGTGGCACCTCGTTGATAAAAGCCTGGACAGAAGACACACTAAGCCCCTTTTATGCTCAGTGACTCCACAGATAGAATAATTTATTGTGCTGCTTGTACAAAAAGCATCCTCATAAGGCCAAATATGAAATTTTTTGAATGTTCTTCTATGGCTAAATGTGGTATTACGTATTTAATAACAGCATGGGCCTCTGGTAATCTGCAGAAGTTAAAATGAGATGGAAACTACTTTCAGAAGAGAATGATAATTTGAATTTTAGGCTGATGGCCAACTGGACTATTGACCTCTCAGACCTTTGCCATTTTATTAAAGTCTCTTTTGAACTGAGAGCCAAAACTGGAGCTGGTATTCCAGGTGAATTCTTACCAGTGCAGCCTAGAAGGGAGTTTTTTTTCCCTTTCCTCTGCTGTGCCCACTCCTTGTGATGCAGCCCGGCCCAGTTTGCTGTGTTTGCACTGAGAACACATTTAACCCGGGCTCCAGCAGCACCACAGCTCCTTCCCAGCAGCTCGGAGATCGTCTGCTGCAGAACTTGCTCTTCTCCTTGTTGACCTCCAGACGGTTTCTGTTGGTTTTTCCAACCTGGAGTTTTTCCAGAGTCTCCTTGGACAAACCTCTGCTGTTTGTCGTGTCTGTTTGAGGTTGCCCTGAGATTTGCTGAGCGTGTTTTCTGTCACCTCGCTCGTGTTACTGTTGCAGGTATTGAATGATACTGGCCCAGCCTCAGCCCCCGGGGTGACCTGCTGCACACCAGACATCAGGAAATCGATCCCGGCCTTTGGAGGCCGATTTTCCTGCCGATTTCTGACGTGTCCCCTGCCTGGCAGGCTGTTCCTGCGGCCAGCACTTTGTCAGCTTTCACATGCAAATGCTGCAGGGGAGGGTGTCAGAACCCTGCTGAAGCCAAGGCGTGTCACAGCCGCTGCTTTGCCTTTTGGAAATAATTTCTGAGAGGATTTATTCCATGATCTGTCCTGGGACTGAGGTGAAACGGAGCCCCTCAATCCTCTTTTTGCCTTCATTAAAAATGGCTGTTACTGTAGCCCATATCTCACCATCAGGGATCTCCCAAAATCACCATGATTTTTCTAGGTACAGATTTTTCTATATCATTATTTCCAGATCTGTCACAGTGTCCTGTTGGCCCCCCCAGCAAGCTTGCCTTGCAGCTCTCAAAAATCTCCATGTGGCTCCTTTAAACACATTTAGCTTCCATTACCCATTTCTCCTCACATTCTTTGCTGCTTTTCTTTCTGACTCTGCCAGTGCCTGGAGAGCTTTTGGAGCAGTCCTTGTTTGTGAAGACTTAGGAAAAGAGCTTTTGAGTGCTTCAGTCTTTTTCTGTAACAACTTCTAGGTTGTGTTCTCTACTCACCAGTGCACCTCGATTTTCTCTGAGCTGCTTTTTACTCCTGTCATTTTTGTGGAATTGTTTTTCATTGTCATTTCTGTCCTCAACTAGTTTGAATTCCAGCTTTGACCTCTCTGATATTGTGCCCAGGCAATGCTGTATAACAAATTCTTTTTTATGCCTCCCGTGCTGTTGTTTCTCCTTCCTGTGTGTTCTCTCTTTGCATTTTAGTCCGTTGAGCAGCTCTGTCTTTCTCATGAAGTTCCCAGTTTTCTGCATGATATTTTGTTCCTTAGATCTCATAGAAAGTCAAAATTCAGAGCACCCTGAAGGGCCCTTTCTCCCCCTGGCACTTCTTGGGGGCTTCTCCTGAGCGATTCACCCCCTCCTGAGGGGCAGCTCCAATCTCTGCTCTCTGTGACCAGGGACAGGACCTGAGGGAACAGCTGGAACTCTGCCAGGGGAGGTTTAGGTTGGATTTCAGGAAAAGGTTTTCTCCCCCCAAGGGTGGTGGGGCACTGAACAGGCTCCCCAGGGCAGTGGGCACGGCCCCAAGGCTGCCAGAGCTCCAGGAGTGTTTGGACAACACTCTCAGGGACAGGGTGGGATTTTTGGGGTGTCCTGTGCAGGGCCAGGAGTTGGACTGATGATCCTTGTGGGTCCCTTCCCACTCAGGGTATTCTGTGATTCCATGATAATTCCCTAGATAAGCCAGAGTTCTTAAAGCTGAAAATGTTGAATATCTTGGTTACCTTTCCAACCTTCCTTTGGATCCTGATCTCTGTTGTCTTGTGGTCACTGGCAGGACTTCGGTTTCCCTCTGGAGCTCCGTGCAATCGAGGAATGCATTTCAGCAGGGTGCAGATCCCCACCCTGTTCTTTGGTGCTAGGAAAGATGATTCCTACATAACCTGTCCTGATCCAGGACGTGCTGAAGTTGTGTGTGCTGTGCCAGGTCTCTGATTCTTGTCACATCAGAGGTCTGTGACCACCCTTGGACATCCAAGTTTTCCTGGTGAGCCAAACTCTGCCTTAGTCTGCGGACACTTGAGGAAAACAACTGCCAGACCCTTTTTAAGTAGGAACTGATCCCAATCCAGGAACCTGAGCTGTCCATCCTCTTCATCTTCAGTGGTGTTGAGAGCCTCTAACTTTTCTTGGAGCTCCTTCCCTTGTGCTGCAGTGCCTGGGTCTGCCAGGGCAGAGCTCTCAAAGGAGAGGCTGCTGCCACTGCTGAAATCCCTGTGGAGAAGAACCAGGCTCTTCCCACAGCCTGAGACCACTTCAGGCGCTGAACCTGGAGAGAGATCGAAGTACCAGAGGTGTTAGTGCTGCCTGGGTTAGCACTAATGTAGGACCTAAGAAAGTCATGCAGTTAAACCTGAATATTACACAGATTTCTGTGAAGTGACTGAAGCAGTTTGTGATATAAATGCTTCTGCTTGTAGAACTCAGTTAAATTAGGACAAGCTACAGGAGCTGAAAGCAATACAAACACTGGTAAACTTCACTTACTCTTTTAGCAAACAAGTTGAATTTATCTGATCTCGTCCAAATTTCATAATCTGGGAATCAGAGTTTGTTGTGCTGTTTTCTTTCCTCGAGTAGAGCTGCTGCATTTATTTTTGAAAATTATCCCTTGTCTGTTTTTGTATAATGGTGCCATGTGATGTCGTGCTTTAAAGACACATATTATTTATTGGTTCTACCTTTCTGGTGCAACTCAACTTTTCAGGATTAATTTGAGTTATGTTACTGCTGAAACTTGGCTGTGTTTTCTGAGTGAGTATTTATTGCTTGCACTATTTAATGGACTATTTTATTTTATGATGGTGGTAGCAGCTCACAGTCAAGGAGCCTCGTGAATGTAGAGTTTGAATAACATTATTTATATACATATATAAATACATATAAATATATACACATACATACTTTTTTCTGCTAGATATCCTGAGATAACTGTGTGTAATAAATTAAAAGAACTTTTTTCCTTCTGATCCCAATGAGTAGTGTCAGGAAATATCTTCTTACACATCTGTAGTGCGCTGACTTTGTTGAGGCAGCGAAAGTACAGCTCCTGGGGAGCCAGACTTATGATTATTTAAATCTATTAAGCCTCTTGGCTTTATATCTAAAGATGAATAGAGCAATAATTACAAATGTGAAGGAGGTCACGGTGAACTTTAGTCTGA